CCCTTTTACTTGTGGTAGGTCGTCTCTCTCTCTCTCTCTCTCTCTCTCTCTCTCTCTCTCTCTCTCTTTGCGATTACTTTTCTAAAGAAACGTTGAATTGAATCGAGAGGATGCAGATCTCTTCCTCGTATATAAATTTCTCGAACAATTATTAATTGCGATTCTTCGGTAAAAGATTAGTTAAAAGTTTCTCTTAGGGTAATTAGGGAAAGTCCTAAGTTTTCTAACGTACAGGAAAATTATTAAGATTTCTCGAATAATTCGATAAATGATGTTCGACGAAGGTTTCGAGCATCATTTGGATGAAGGTATGGCGATTGATTCTTCACACGTCCTATATTTTTTCACTTGGAAGGAAACCATTCAGAGGATTCATTCCAATTGGCTCTTCTTTAAACAACACTTTTCTTCAAAATCTTCGTGATTCTAACGTGATGCATACGTTCAATTTCAGGTTGCGATGGGGAATCGGACGAAGGTGGAAGCAAGAGGCGAAGGAGCAGGACCAACTTCAATAGCTGGCAACTGGAGGAATTGGAACGGGCATTTCTCTCGAGTCATTATCCCGATGTGTTTATGCGAGAAGCTCTGGCTGTGAGACTCGAGTTGAAAGAGAGCCGCGTAGCGGTAAGTACATGTATTCCTTTTACGAATCCCTGAGGATGTAATCCTTCTTGAGGGGAAAAAAGAGTGCAATCCGATTCTTGAAAAGGAAGCGAAAGGTTGAAAGAATTTAATGGATCCGTGGAACTTAACGAATTCGATGGTTATTAAAAATATTACTCGGGGAGATGCGAATAAAATGGTTCGTCAGATTCGTATAGCGTCAACCTTTCTTAAATTAGAGAGATTCGAAATTTATTGAATTCGAAATCTGAATTGACGATTGAAATTAAATTTCGTTGGAAAGAAATTGGGGAAATTGAAAGTAGCTGCATTTTCCCGAGAAAAGGGAAGAGACAATGTTGGACTCTAATAAAGATAAAAACCCTAAATCGCTTAAAGGTAAAATTTGCAAAATTTGGGGAAATTAAGAAAATTCGAAAAAATTTAAATTCGAACGAAATTTCCAATTGATAAGATGGAGGAATTTATGAAAAAAATTTCGGTGGGGGGAGGAGGGGGAATAGGAAAAAGTGCACTTTTATCGCGACCTGATTTCACGTTTCGCGTACCATTATCCGACATCCCAGATCGGCCGTTTCGATAGGCGAGAATTTATAGGCGCGTACGCCGTCATTTTTCGAGGGTTGATGCCCGACAGACGACACGGGGGCGGTTTGATCTCGGTGCCTTCGGCCCTCGAGCTGCTCTCCCGAGGGTAGTTAGTCCATCTGCTCGATTCTGAGTGCGGTTACCTTACCGTCCAGTGTGTTGGAGGGTAGTAAACCGAGGAACATCTATCCCAAGGACCTCGACTCGTCGACCGTGTCCATTTGAATAATGAACTGATTTTTATGTGGACGCCATTGTTCCTTTCTAAAACGTCTCTGGAAAGAGTTTCGAAAATTACCTGATTCTTTTTTTTTTTTTTTTTTTTTGTTGAAATTATGGAATGTTTATTCGGATCTGTTATAACATTGTAATATCTGGTATTAATTTTTGCTATTAATTCGAATTTAATATTATTTTATTTTAATGAGTTTTAATACTAGTTGTTTCTTAAACTTTCTTAGACTTTTCTTTCTTAGAATACGTAACGATTTCACAACGTAGAAAATATCAATTTCCACATTTACATAATTAAATGCTTTCTACTTTTGTTTATTTATTTTTTCTAATTAAATAATAATATAAGTATCTTGATATTATTGCAGTGTAGCGTACGTGTATAATAAGACGTTCCGTGCAAAGCAACTATTTGTCAGCCGCGAAATCGATTTGGCGAGAAAACATTTATTTCTTGCTAATTTTATCGTTTTATAAAAGAAGAATCTCCTCCTCTCCTCGTTTAACGTGTCTCCGTCTAACATTAAGTCGTGGAATAAAATATAAAAAAGCGAACGATATCACACTCTTAATTTATTCTTCCGGAAGCTCGATGACCGGATAAATCGGCGAACCACGCGAATCGTTTTCCGTGAAAGTCGTGGAATTGCATGTAACTGAAACAAAGAAAAAAAAGAAAAAAAAAAAGAAAGAAAAGGAATCGTACGCGTTTTAACATCGGCCTTCATGACTGGTGCTCGTTTTTCACGTTAATCACTGATGCTTCTCGCTTCTAATTGTCAGACCATATTTTTTAAAATCATTCACGGTGGTTCCTTACACATTATTTCCTCGCAAAAAACACATTGCATTATAATGAAAAATAGATTTTCTCCTTTGCAAGTGAAATTCAGGATCGGGAACGTATATCGTTCACCTTCGAATTAAATTCCACGATTAAATTTATTCCTGCTCTCTTTTTTTTTATTGTCTTTAAATCTTGAATAATATTCTCAGTTGTGAACGAAGTTCGTTTCGAAGCTGGTTGCATTCAGTTGTTTGGTGGAAAGATTCGCGATTAGTTAGAATTGTTAGCATTATAAACCGACACCGTGACACAATGGTAGTCCTTTCTGTGGCACCCAACGAAGGGTGGACCCTCAATTTCACGGCCCATCGGACACGAAGCCACCCTCATATCTTCCCCCAATCGATAAGATATTTATATTTATACGCTTAGATACGGTTCGTGTGTCGCGGAATAGCGCAATCGTTCTTTCCGACAATTAATCGAGCCTCTCTTCTCCCTTCCACACACCATTTAATCGCCCCCTCCTTCTCTCTCAACCGTTCCTCCATTCAAAAATCGACCGTTTTACGTTCTCGATTCATTGTTAGAAATTTCCAATTTATACCCAATAAAATAATTAATAATTACAATTACGAACAACAACATCGAATATTAAAATCGAAAATCGTGTCGAGGGGGAAAATCACAAATATATTCTATTTTCCAATAAAAAAAAAATTCTCATCAGATATTTTCTATTCTCTCCATTTCGACGAACGAGCGACACGCGAAACCAGGCGTTGAAATCACCGCGCGCGAAACACGTATACTCGATCTTTTCGAGCAGAGGGGGGCCTGAAAACCGATCTACGTCGATGACAGGGATCGATCCGTAGGAGGAGATAACCGTGGTGACACGATGTCACGAGAGAGGCAGCCGGTGCCTCTTCTCCAAGGGACTGTCCTCAGATTAGATATTCGATGGCCGCGCCAGATAACCTCTAGCGCGGATGCTGGTTCTGAGGCTTTTAAAAATATATATATAGCGTAGATAAAGCGACGACACGCTTAGACGTGGGCAACTGGTCTTGGAAGTTGGCGGCACCCGTGCCGGTTTATCACGTGGGTGTCGGCTTTCGGTAAGGGTGGCAGTTGGAAACGATCGGTATCTCGCTCGATCTCGCGACGAATTCATTAGTCGGAACACTCCCGCGTTTTGTGACTTTAAACGGGTTTGTCAGCTTCCTCTTGACGCCTGGGCGTGGGTGGGTTCGTTTAGAAAGCGATCTTGTTGTTGATTTTCTTGTGTTTCTTCGATCTCGCGAAAACGTTCTTCCGTTTCTTAATTTATTACGCGCGAGTTTTTAACCGAGATAAATTATTATGTTATTTTTATGAAAGGAATTCTCTATTTCGGATAGAGAAATATTGTGAATATATGTAGAGCGTGTAATAATGGATTTATAGGTTTTATTTGATAATGTTATTTTGGAATCAATCTTTACGAATGTTTTGTGATACGAGATATACGATATAAATTTTGTATTGTAAAATGTTCGAGTTTGATATAATGGTATTAAGCGTGAGGAATGAAGATTCGAAGAAATAAATTGCAACGTACATAAGTCAGTTATGCTTCATACACACAACGACTTTCTAGAGTAGTTGAATAGATGAATTTCTTTGTAAGATAATTTATCGAGGATTTTGCGGCTGGCTTTATATCTGTATTTTAAATTAGGTAATTTCTCTTACTTACTTACTTTTTTATTTATTCGCTTTCCGAGTTTTGAACCAGAACTGGTCCAACAATTTACTTACTCGAAGAAATTTAATAACTGTTATTTATTCGATCGAAGGATATTGATGTTTGTGTGAAATATACGTATTTTTCCTTTAATTTATTATTGTTGAAAGTAAAAAAAATATATATATAATACACGTGCATATATTATTATTTTTCTGAGAAATTTCGTGACACGTATTTATCTTATTTCGTACAAATGCAATTATTGCTGATATTAATAACATCCTCTGTCAAAAGATTAATAAAAGAAAGAATCTCGAATCTTGTTCCTTTGTAATTTTATATAAGATAATTCTCTCTCACGTTTATCCAAAATTTGATAATTATTATTTACCTGACAAGAAGTAACGAAGAGATAAAAAAAATTTCTTGAATTTTCAGATTCGAAAAATAAAAATATTGACTCTCACGTTGAATATTTTCAATATTCTATATTTTCTACACTTTCAAATTCAATTCTCATTCGTTAAAATTAATTATATATAACGAAACGAATTCCCTAATAAAGCAGGATCGAAACGAAAATGTAAAAG